GAACTCAAACTCGACCCGTTTGTGAAACACGTTGACCCTAACCCGAAATTTTTGGGTCATGTTCGAGTCGGGTTTTCGGGTCATGTCAAATATTGACACCACTAATTGTCGAAGAAGAATGAAATAAGCATACTTACTCAATAGGTTAACTACCACCATAATCACTGTTAACCCTTCTGAATGGGGCAGCCCATCTATAAAATTCATAGATATCTCCCCTCATACTCTACCCGGTAAAGCCAACGGCTGTAGTAGACCTCCTGGTGACATGGTCAAGTACTTGTTCCTAAGACAGACTTCACACCTGGCCACCATCTCCTTCACATATTTATGCATCCCCGAATACAGCTACAAGGCTAGCCTCCTAAAGGTCTTTTGCACCCCTGAGTGACCCCCCACTGCACTCCCATGAAACTCTTGCAGTAAGTGTGGAATGTGGACTGATGTCCTGGGCATCATAAATCTCCCCTAATACAGAAGTCTCTCCCCGTCTAGTGAGTACCCTGGATGGCTACACCTTCCCTTAGTAAATCTGGCATGATTTTTCTTAACTCACCCCGAGCACTCTCCTCTCTAATGGCCTCCCAATCTAGCATCAAAGGAACCGATACTGCCATCATCTGCAGCTCCCCCACACATATATACAAGGCATCTGTTGCCTTTTTCTCCACTCCTGGCTTGTACTAGATCTCGAAATCATATCCCAATAATTTGGACAACCACCTTTGATGCTCCTCCGTCACCATCCATTACTCCAACAAGTAATTCATGCTCCTTTGATCGATTCTGACAATGAAATGCCTACATAACAGGTGGGGTCGCCACTTCTGAATGGCTAAGATGATGGCCATCAACTCCCTCTCATAGACAAATTTCAGTCTGGCTCTGGGCTGTCAACACCTGGCTGAAGTAAGCAATGGGTTGACGATTCTGCAAGAGTACTGCCCCCAATCCGTAAACTGAAACATTTATCTCCACTTTGAATGCCTGAGTGAAGTTTGGTTAAGCTAAGACTGGTACAGCAATCATCACCTTCTTTAGTCTCTCAAATGCTGATGTGGCCGCTTCCCCCAATATGAACCCATCTTTCTTCAGTTGCTCTATTAGTGACCAAGCTATAGTGTCACACCCTTTTACAACCCTCTTGTAGTACCCGAAAGTCCAAAGAATCCTCTCAACTCCTTTAGATTCTTAGGTAAGGGCCACCTTAGCATAATCTCAATCTTTGACTGCTCCGCTGCCACCCCTTCTTTGGACACAATATGTCCCAAATATTCTACACTGATCTGGGAAAAACAACACTTCTTCGAATTGGCCTTTAGCTGGTGTTCCTGTAGGACTCCCAAGACCGTCTTCAAGTGCTCCAGATGCTTTCCCTCAATTTTGTTGTACACTAGTATAACATCAAAACAAACTTCCGGAGGTACTTCCTACACACCATGTTCATCAGTGACTGGAAAGTAGCAAGGGTGTTGGTAAGCCTAAACGGCATTACCAAAAACTCATAATGCCCCTCGTGTGTCCTGAAAGTTGTCTTGGAGATATATGCCTCTCTTATTCTGATCTGGTGGTATCCAAACTTCAAATCCAGTTTGGAGAACATCACTGCCCCATTCAGTTCATCCAAGAGCTCATCAATCACAAGAATAGAAAACTTATCCGACAATGTCTCCTTGTTCAAAGCTCTATAATCCACACAAAATCGCCAGCTCACATCCTTCTTCTTGACCAGTAGGACTAGACTAGAGAAGGGACTCACACTTGACCTGATGATCCCCGCCTCTAGCATCTCCCAGATCAATCTCTCAATTTCATCCTTCTGAATTTGAGGATATCGGTAGGGCCTGACGCTGATGAATGGCGCACATTCCCTCAAGGCGATGGTGTGCTCCTACTCCCTCAGTGGTGGCAATCCCTGAGGTGGCTAAAACACCGCCTAAAATTCCTGAATTAACGGCTATATTGAGAGGGGTATGTCCCCTCCCTCCTCCAATCTAGCTCCCTCCAAACTGTGCAACTCTACGCCTCTACCAAATATCCTCCACCCACCTCCTATATACTTCTTACCATGGTTTTAAAAGAAACCATAGATTTGGATAGCCCTGCATCTCTTCTTATCACCATCTTCCTCCCATTCACCATCAGCTCCATAGTGAGGGACCCCCAATTAACCTTGGTGTCTCCTAAGATCTGCAGCCACTTCATCCCCAAGATGACATATGTACTCCCTAACTCCAGCAGAAGAAAATCTTCCCTCACCTGAATCCCCTAGACAATCAATGGCACTCCTCTATAGATCCCCTAACCTTTCTCCACCTTCCCAGTACCCATCATCGCTCCATAACAATTGGTATCCACCAATCTCACTCCCAATTGGTCAACAACCAGAGTGGAAAAGAAATTGTGGGTAACCTCACTATCAATCAGCACCACCACCTCCATGTCCTCTATCTCGCCCTTTACCTCCATGGTATGATTCGTAGTTAATCCTACCACCGAGTTCAGGGAAACATCGGTCAAATCCAAATGTAGCTTATCCTCCATACCCTCCTCTAACCCTCCACCTCCCTCCTCAGTTTCCTCATCATCACAGAAGGTGAGAACCTGAAAAGTTCGGTCCTTACACCTATGCACTGGCATATACTTCTCATCACACCTAAAACACAACCCATTTGTCCTCTTCTCTTGCATCTTCTTCTCTGTCAGCATCTTGAAATTTCCCCCACTCTCTTCTACTGTATTCTCTCTTGTGGTCTCCTAAATTCCTCCTACTGCAGGACCCTTAAGTACTAAGTGAGTTGTCGTCATCCTGTAAGTACCTCCCGAGCTACTGCTACTGGCTCCCCTCTCTGGATTTCTCTGATTTTCAACTAGGTGTGCCAACTTCATGGCCTCCCCCAAGTCACAAGGCATCAAAACTTTTATTGCCGCTCTGATCTCTGCCTTCAGCCCTTTCATGAAATTTTCCTCCAATACAGTATCTAATAATCACTCCACCCTACTAACCAGGTGCTCAAACTGCTCATGATAGTCTGGTGATGATCCCTCTTATACCAGAGCAAAGAACTCCTCATAGAAATCTCCTCCCCAGACAGTTTGGAAATGTTCTATTATACAATCCTTGAATTCTCCTTTGTTCCTAATAGGTTTCTATTGGTCTCTCCACTGGTACCATAACAATGTCTTCCCCTCCAAACATAAGCCTGCCATTGCTAGTTTCTCCTCTGTTAGCCCATTTACGGCGTAGTACCTCTCCACCTTATAAATCCACTTATATGCATCCTCCCCTTCGAATATGGGCATCTTCAGCTTCCTCACCTTCTGATCTCCCCCATTTCCCCTTGTTCCTCCATAGCTTCCCCTATCCTAAGTGCTTGGCCCTCCCCACGTCTCTCGGTCTTCCCTTGCCCTATCATAACCCAAACCCCCTTCAAATTTCATTCTCCTTCCTTCAAATTCAGCCCCTAGGTGACCATAAAACCCCTCCCGACGTTCCCAATCAACACCCTTTTGCTCAGCCCATCCATACCCATGCCTTTCCCCATACCTACCTCCTCTATCATCCCTCTGGAAAGGCTCCATATAGGGTTTTCTTCTTTCTCCCTCCATGATCTCCACCTCATCTTCCTCCCTACGAATTTTAGATTTCAGAAATCGTGTTTTTCCCTTCCACCCCTTTTTCCATGGAAGCCACCGTTTGGTTGTGGATTTCTAGCATTTTCTTCATCATGTCTCGAAGATCGGCTACTTGTCCTTCCATGGAGGAAATCATTTCCTCAACCGTTGTCTTGATTTGGTTCATCTCCCCTTCAAGTCTTTCTTCAAACGTATCTACTTTCTTGGCTGTCATCTCTCTCCGGATTTTTGTTGGTTCAAAAAATTGGATTTGGATCTCAAAAAATAGCAACTTTCTCCTTTGCCGGCCAAAACGCAGTCGCTGAAATTCGCCAAAATCAACCCACCAACGGTCCCAAGATTTGCTTTGATACCAATTTGATAGAAACTACTTGAGTTCGCAAGTAATCCAAGAGAAAATACTTGAGTTCGCAAGCAACCCTAGCAATAATTGGTCAAAACAGTGAAAATAACACCAAAATCTAAGTGAAATCAACCAACAACTGATAGATAGCAATAGTGGAATCAAAACAAAACAAAACAAACACCAAGCAAGATACAATTGATCCACAATTCAAGAGGAGGATCGTTCTCTCCCAATCTCTAGACAAAGAGTCTAGAGCCCAAGACGCCAAGAAACCCAACAGTAAAACTCAAAATATGCATGCCCTAACCCTAGCCTCTCATGTTCTTTAAATATAATTCTTTCTAATAAAAAGCTTCCTAATATAATATAATTTCAAATTTCCCTCATGCTAAAACCGCCCTCTCTCTCTCTTATTGCCGCCCAAGAAGGTGAGGCCCACAAGCTTAGGTAGTGGGATTTAAAAGATGCAGCTTAGCCCACCTCCTATAGGTCTAAACCGGCCCCACCTAGGCCGGTTTGAGCTGAACCGTAACATGCGACAAGCATAAAACTAATGAAGCTATAAAATCAAATCTGTATGATCATTGCTAGCCAGGTATTAAACAAATAAAATTGAGAAAGATTTGAGTTTGTATCTCAATTATAATGTGAATTCCATGCAAGAAAATTTGAAAAAATAGCTCCCATCCATTGCAGTAACTGCTCTTCGAGGTTCAAGGAAAGATATTATTAAAAGTAATTAATTAATGATGACATATGATACAAATCACCAACTCCACAAAAAGATAAATATGCCCACAAGAACAATATTAGCTTGTGTAGAAATGAAGTTAAATGAAGCTTTAGAAGGAAATCTATATGAATGAGAAGATCAGATTAAACACAAAAATTAGTGAGCTGCTAAGTACTAAAAAACGGACCTTAACAATGTCGCTGACCAAAACAGACGTAGAAATTTAAAATCCGAACACATACGGTAACTATAGCCAAATAAGCACAAAAACAATAATGTGCATACCATTGAGGGTAGATAAATCTTGCTCTCTCTGACAACTGGAACTTTCAGACATAGGAGAACTTGTAACATTTCTATTTCTTCCACCAATATGTATGACCAATTTAGTTCCTTTTACAGTCTCAGACTTGCTTGAATTTTTACCAGCACATTCCTTAAAATGGCTATCTGATAGCTGTTTGTTTTGGATTTTGATCACCCTATCAGAAGGATCACCAAGAACTTCATTCCCACAGATGTCATTGTTGCTCTCCGTCTTAGCATCTGAGAACTTCGCTGCAGAATCACCAGCAATCCCAGTACTTGGTGATGAAAAACTTTCTTGTCCGTCTGCTCTACATGATTTGAGATCATCATGAACTGGATCATTCAAATTATTTTTCAATGACATGGCCCCATGCTCTACTTCAGGATTTTGAGGCAGACCATCTGCTTTACTAACAAATTTAATCTGCCATTCTTTCTTTTTAACAGGTTTCTTACTAGATGTTAAATTCTTCGAGCTAGTTTTTCCAGAGTCTTTGAAAGCCTTAGCAGATTTATCGCTTAATCCTTTAACAGAAAACTTCAAAAATCTTCCATGAACGTTTCTATGTACCGTTGGGCCATTTGACTCGTCTTCAGAATAGGGTAGAGTGGAGAATGATGCCTCCTCAGTGGGCAGGCCAGCCGCAGCTCTCAAACTTGTAATAAGACTGCGATCAGCTTCATCTCTCCTATTCCAAAGCTCTCTAACAGCATCATCTATATCTTTAACCTAAGTGTAACGAAATGATATATGTATTTTTAACATAATTGAAATGTAGAAGATAAACCTCCTGAAGGACACAAGTTACCTGATAACAATCACCGCGGCATGCAGCACAAACATATTGCAGGTTCTGGTCAGTCTGGAACTGCTGATATTTTTCATCACTGTGAAACAAAGAAAAAATTTTCAATCATGTGCATTAAATAATATGTAAAGAATGGGAAACCCTCAAGTACACAAAACAGGGCAAACTGCAAAAATTAACTAAATAGAGATTAAAAATGCACATAAGATATTTCGATTGTTTTTAATCACCACAAAATATTTGAGATATGATTGCATAAACTAAGCTGGATCTAGAATTTAAATAACAAATTGAATTGAAGGATATGCAAAAAGATACTTCTCATACCACACCTTTGATTGCCAATGTAAATAATGAAGATCGGATCTGACCCCATCGTTAACAAAAAAGTTAAGTGACGATACAGTAAAGCAATGGACAATATTGGTTTAAACAATTTAAATGGAAAATTTTCTGGAGTGGTGCTAACTGAATTAACACGAGAGAGTAAGAGCTGAACAAAAAGGCACTCCTTTAATCACAATGAAAAAACCAAGCCAATTTAGCATAAATCGTGACAAATGCCATGAAAATGTTAGCACTCTCAACTGAATAATTGAGTAACAACCTTCAACGACTGAGAGATGAAAGGTATTGTAAGTTAATTGAAACAAGTGATATTGTAGAAGAATAAAGTAATATAGAAGGTTCAAATATCAATAGTAGAAGTAAAAATGCTTTCAAACAGAAATAATCGGGCAAAAATTTTCAACAGTGGAGTTCAGATCTATGAAACATGGATTTGATACTTTTCTAAGACTAGGAGAAAAACAAAAAGTAAATTATATGGCTTCCAGCACGAGCAAAGGTAATGCAGAACACTTGCAATATGCATGCAAGACTAGAACTCATGCAATACAATCAAAAAAACAGAACAAGGACTTCTATGTGCTAAATAGTTGCGAACTTCTAAGTGCCATCTTGCAAGTTGCTAGCTCATTGCAGCACAAAATAGAATGTAATGCACCAAAGCTCTATTGGGAATCTCAGTCACAACACATGCATAATTAGTCCTCAAAATACAGTGAAATAAATGCAATTTATGTGTCACTTCCATCACGATTTAGAAATGGCCTACAGAGTGCCAAGACTGCCGGCATTGGCATTTGTAACTACAACTGGACGACTTCAAGCATAACACACCATGAGCGGATATATGCCAGAACATATAGAGATAGAAAGACATATAAGTAATGGAAAAGTAATGAGAGAAGAGAACACAAGGACAGGGATGTGCAGAAACATAGAGAGTGAGGCATACAAAGAATAGATGGGAGAAGAAAGAACAAGGAAAAGGAAGTAAACGAAAAAATACGGGATGCATGGAAAAAAATAATAATCAAAATCAGCCTAGAGAAGCTATGAGCTGCTGAGAAGCTATCAGCAAGCAATGAAAAGATAACGACTTCCATACTATATAAGCTTGAAATGACAGAAAATGATTTTCTTCTTTTGTTACTGAGGAGACAACGACTTAGCATGTCTGCATGGGTCTTATATTGAAATGAGAGCTTGACTGACCAATAGTTCAGGGAAAAACAGTTTAGTAAAACAATGCCAATATTTCATAAGGATTAAACCGAGAACTTTAGCAAAAAATAAGCAAGTACTTTACAAATTTTGATTTCTGACCAGCTTTTCCATTTGAAACCCAACAATCAAAGTATCAAACACAAACGCATATATAACTCTTGCTGATTATCTACTCAACCCAACATCCAACATGTGCCGGATTATAGTGACATTTTAAAGCGCATTTAATTTACATAGGAAGATATAAGCCAAATAGAGTACTGAATCAAAGCATTACATAAGGGGGATTATGCAACACCGCTGATATTAATACAAAAGTTATTGACAATAACCTGATGCCATCACAGACAATATGTACCCATCGCTCACAGATGTCACAACAAACCATGGGCGTTGTTTCTGAGTCTCTATAAACCTACAGAAACAAAGCATATAATATAGTCATTAATCGATATACTAAAAAGACATATCATTTAAATCAGGCAAACCAAAGTAAAAATAGTATAGTAGGGCATCATCTTCTATTAAATTGTAACCACATTCCAGATATCATACTTTAAAAAAGGAAAAGCCAAACAGCGACTTAAAAAGAACTAATATTCAGAAAATTGAACACCACCAAGCATAAGATTCTAAGGTGAATATCTCTAAAAAAAATAAAGAAAATCTCGGTAAAAATTATAGTTTTGAGCCGGCCATGTAATCTCATAACTCCGCTGAAGAATAGGCATTCAGTTCCTAACTTATTCAATAAGATTTTTCAAATATAGCTCATAAAAAAATGAGCATTGACAAATAGACAGTAGAGAATAGGAGTTTAGTTCCCAAATCATTTCATAAGAATTTTCTAAAAGAGGTCTAGAAAAATAAATATTTCGGAAAAAAAACAGTAGTTTTTGCCAGACCATGTAGTCTCACAACTTCTTTGAAGAATAGAAAGGCAACGTGCCATGCATGGGAGGTTTTGTTGTAAGAGATGAAGCGTGAGATATTTGAGAAACGATTCATTATCATAAAGATTGAGTCATACTATTGCACAACACAAGGCAAACTGAGAATGATGTATATACTCAAATCTTCCAAAACTTTGTATGGAATGAGAAGCAGAGTACATAGACTGATGTGATTATTGTCTTTTAATGAATAACAAATACAACCTTGGACAAAAACATGTGCCATATCTCGCTTGAGACTAGGTCAAAAGTGATGTGAATCAAGGTAGGAATTGCAATTGAAAATTAAAATGAAGATTATTCAAAACATTGTCATCACAAATTTAATTACCAACAAAAGTCAAGGATTAAATCGTTCAAAGTAATTAACTTGCTTAGGGATGACCTCATCAAAAAGTAATGGCCCTCAACTATAGCAATGGTCTTGCACTATCTGAAATCATCAATAGGTACCCAAGTGTGTAACTCTCAATAAGGAAGTCACAGAGTGAGGAATCAATGAAACAAAGGTTAGTACCTCAGATGAGGTGATTGTCTCATACCTAAATTTCTGAATTAGGATCAAGCTAAGAATACATATATTTGACTGAATTATTAGCATGTAGTATGATCGGAGATCACTTCATCAAATCCAATCACTTTTACACTCAAGTGTAATACTGATGACAGCATAGTCAAAGCATTAGTAGCTTGCCTTTCAACACCAGCTTTAATGAGAACAAAGACAAACTCTTAAAGCAACTACACCCAATCGGCATGGGCATGGTGTGATCTCAATTTCATTTGTGAGTTAAGATATTTAAGAGCTTCATGATTGGAATATAGTATGACCTCTCACGATAAAAGATAATGTTGCCAGTAACACCAAGCTTGCACTACAACACATAATTTCTTAATCATAAGTGGAATATTTTTGACGAGCATTGTTGAAACATGTTCTCCTATATCCTTATTACTTAAGGACTATATCTATGTCAAAAAACCAAACATATCACAAGATACCTCATAGACCTCAGTGAAGCCCTGCAATTACAACACAAAAGAGTTGGTCAAGCGCTATTTGATTTCTTCAAAGGCATGAGATGCACTCAAGGGCACTTAAACTCACCCTTCTTGAGGCATTAGGTGATGGAGTTCATGATAGTGTTGAATTCTCAAGAGCCTCCCATAAAAGATGGTTAATCGATTTAAATTGTGAGCATCATGGATTGAGATGGGGGTAAGCCAAATCTCAATGGTTTGGCTTTTACCAGAAACAACAAAAACATACTTGTTCGTTGGGAACAACGGAGCCCAACAATCTCAGAGAAGAAATCATGAAACCATAGTTCTTCATGTAAATGTATAGTTTCTGAGCTATGATGCAACGACAGTGTCTGACACCGTGTCCGACACGACACTCGTCCGACACTCCTCCGACACGTGTCAGACACGCCGAAAACGTGTCCGATTAAAAAAATATTAAAAACAAATTGGACATGCGGATCTTAAATATTTTATAATTTTTTAAAAATATAATTTCTTATATTTGGCGAGATTTAAACTAAATTTCTTATTTCATATCCACAACACCAAATCAACATCTGCATTTAATACCCATTCTTCGAATATTCTCATTTTCATTTCTCTTTGGCAGTGAAGGTATTTTCATCTCATCTCATCTCTTTTTGCACAATTACAAATCTTTCTCTTGTTGAACCAGAGTTGAAAGTAGTGATATTCAATGATGATGATATTGAAGGCCAAAAACAAAACTCTAAAGCTAATCCTAATAGTTGAAGCTTGAATGCTTGATATTGTAGTAAGTGATTATTTGTTTATATTTTTGTGGTTGTACTAAATATTTTATATTATAAGCTAGACAAGTTATCATGTTATTCATTTATTATTGTTTGTAATTTTTAATATGATATTACATTAATATATATACACCATATAAAAAAATGTATTGTCGTGTCCGCGTCGTACCCGTGTCCTATATTTTCAAAAAAAAACTGTCCCGTGTCAGTGTATGTGTCGTGTCCGTGTCGCCGTGTCCTTGTCCATGCATCATAGTTTCTGAGGTGAAGTTGAAGAACCATCTTAAATGACTTATATGATTAACTCGTGTTTTAGTGAATATTAACATATCATAAAAGTAGATAATAACGAAGACTCCAATGAAGAGATGAAGCGCATTAGACGCAAATCTCATAAATGTGCTTCAGACATTAATATAACCAAAAATGAAAATTAATCACTCAAAGATTAAATCAAAATCAAACACTCACAAATATAACTCTTTATCTTGAAGGCAATCTTCCACTCATCAACTCTCATTCATAACTTGAAATATCCCATATGAAAATCAATCTTCAATAAGATAACTAATTTGACAATTATGTCCAACATATCATCAGAAAAAAAGTATAAAAAAATTATACATGAGAGTGACATTGTTGATGGCACAATTGTTGACATCTACATCTGCCAAGCTTCACCCTCTTTGGAGCAAGAATGAACAAAACAACACCCAATGACAATCTTTCTCTAATGAAACCTATGTTTAACAAATCATTGGCATGCCACTTGAGTTCAATGTGCACAGTTCGGTTCATTATATATTGGGGCTTTTTGGCAAGGTGAAACTAAGAATTAAGTCAATAACATGTTGGAATGCTCCTAAGGGGTGGAAGCTTATGAGGTGTTTCACTCAAACACAAGTCCTAGAACACGGCTTGGAGTCATCTAACCTTAAATGGGAAGGCACCAAAAGGCCTTATCTCAAGTGATATACACCTTAGTTTCTAAACAAGAGGTCATAGGCACCAATCTCAACAAACACAACTTTAATGAATTTGTCCATATTCTACATAGATTTAATATCCATATTTGGCCTTATGGTCACCTCATATATATGTATAACAAGCATTATGACCCTCATATATTTTGTATTAGCTTTGAGACAATCTAATCAAATTATGGGATAGATTTCTATCCTTAAAAATTTGAACAAAATTTTAAAATAATAATAATAATAATAATGGGAAGGTAGGAGACTTGGTTATTTTCTTGAATATTTCCATGATTGCGAGTGTAATAGTCATTGTTTTTTGCTACTACACCCTGATGTAGAGAATAAGAAGACTGTAGTAAAAATTAGATATTTATAAGTAAGAATCAGATATATCAATTTGGAAAAATTTTAAAGTTTTTTTGCAAATGGAGTCATCATCATGCTAGAGGTTGATTATCATAATGCAAACATAGAATAAAAGGGTATATGTTATCCCCACCATCTATTTGTAGAAAATATGGAGAAAGTGAAAAAGAGATGATAAATAAAATAAAATGCAAATGCTAATTCAAATGCAATAAATAGCAAACAATGCAAGAATAAATTCAAAAGGGATTACTATAGATTTCCTAAGGGTGAGAAGGATAAGGACCTAAATTGGTTCAACAAAAAACTAAGATCAAGAACTTCACTTAAAAGAACTATAAATCGCTAATTTCTTAAATAAGGCAAACCTTCTAAAACGTCTTAGGCCCTTAGCCATTACACCTTCAAATATTAGCACACTTACTGCACCCAATTACTTGCAACTCACCTCAAATTCAAGCATCATTATTTTTTGCAGTTTTGCGCTGCCCATATAAACATTATAACTAATCCCATATGCATTATCCAATGCTAATTTATGACATAAAAGTCAACAGACAAATATTATAGTGGAGTTGACAAGAAAAGAAATTTATTCTTAAACACCAATTGTTCTGACTTCTAAGTATGGAAGAAGGTTGATAATGGCTTGTCCTAACTCACAACAATGCATTCATTCATATGCAGATATTTTAATGTGGGTATCCTCCCTCGGTACAAGGTGTCAATAGCACGTATCCACACCAAACTGTACAAGTAAATCATCGTATCCACAAAAATCAGTGCCAATCAAAGGAAGTTCCATTCGGATGAGACGAACCTTCAAACAAACTGGACAATAGTTTCCTTTAACAAACAATCGTCCACAAGCATCGCAGCAAGTATATCCTAAAAACCACCTACAATAAATTACAAATATTAGAACTTCAGTAACGGATTTAGGACAATTTTTACTTCACATGAAACAGACGAGCTTGTTGTATAATACCATTAAAACAAAAAAAGAAACAACATGCATCATAGTAAAAAAAAATTTGATCTTCCAAATTCACAAAAACACCTTGTGCTAGGACCACTTCCGGGGACTGTGGACCCACAACTGTGACATCTTGTATGCTTCGAGCACAGGTAAGGCCCGTGATTGACATTCTACAAACATATAAGTTAAGCAGATTGAATAGAATGCACAATAAATTTATAAAATTGAGCATAATAAGTCATTTAAATTGTATACTTTGTGTGGAGGTTGCTGACAATAGCAATGGTAAGCACCATCACACCTTTTACAGTACATCAGCTTGTTGGGATCTCCAGCCCTTCGGCATACCTATACCACGTTAAAAAAAACAAAGATTATGAGATAATTCACACATGTATTCCCAAAAACATGTTTAACATAATCTTGGTAAGGTCCACTTGAATATAATAGGCAAGGTGAAAGTATAATATAGGCATAAATAACGACCAGATTGGTAATCCATAGGATTGCAAAGCTGGCTGCCCATCTTGTCATCTATCATTAACAATCCGTGAGCATCAACTACTACAAATTCCTCTTAGATTTCTAAGAAAAAAATGAACAAGCTGCAAAATATCTTCCTTTATTTTCAATATAATTAGAATTTTCTAATAAGTAGAAATTACCAATTGTAATCTACAATTCTATTCTAAAAATAGAGAGAAAAAATCATCAATGAAATACAAGCAAATTTTAAATTATTTATCCTCTCGTCATTCATCTCTAGGAGTGTTTTTCTACAATTTTTCCTGCTCCAAAATCCCAAGTATCACCCACTATCCTTCTTCTTCTTCTTCTTCTTCTTCTTTTTTATGGGTATAGATAACTATCCTACCCACTATCCTTCATAAATTTATTGTCAGCTACCTAAAAGCCACCTCCCAAGACCTCCAACTACCGCCGCATTCCATCAAGAAGAATTCCTTTTTTTTTCTTTTAAAGGAAAATATCATCTATATCATAAATTATTGACCAATGAAATTATACTAATCAAAACATTGTAGATGAGTAATAAAATCGTCCATCTTAATTAAAATTAAATATTAAAATTTACCTTATTCGATTCCATATTGTGAAAACATTTCTCAAAGAAAAGAAAAAGTTGGCCCATTTTATTGGCCTCGTGACACGTGAAGATGACCTCATTTTTTCCAAAAGAGATGTAGAAGGTTCCTTTATTATATCATGGCTATGGAATTTAAAGATATCATAATTCAATGGAACCTACATGTTCCTATCCACAACCAGCTATATATAGGATGAGGTGATACAAACATAATCCAAGTTGTGTGATGTCACCTTAGTCTATGAGATTAAAACAAAAAATCACACCACCAAGCAAGGTACTCTCTTAATTATCAATTACTATAATAAAATGAAAAACATATGGTTTGAACACGATTACTAGTAGTGCATCAAAATGAGAAGTGGTGAAGATGCTGCAATGCTATGAATTTTTGTATAAGGAAAAAAGAATTTATGAATTTTTGGCTAAAGCAAATGTTGAATAAAACCAATTACGAATTCAAATACTAGTAGAAGCACCTTTTTCCAACCTATAAGTTTTCTCTACCATTAGAACTGATGAGGGAGGAGGGACGTTATGTTAGAAACACCGGCCATTGGTAAAAATCTTTTTTTACTTTTTCTCCCTCAATGAAAACATGCTCTTCAAATAATTCGATAAGATGTAAGTACACAAGGTAACTTCAAAACCAACGCATTTACATGCCAGAATAAGCTTAACAATCAACCCCAGTTGTAGCAATGATAATACTGCTATGAAAGGCTGCATTGTCTGTAAGATTTGCTGTCAGCAGGTAACAATTTTCTCTTAAAAACTTCTATTACAACAGCTTTGGATATAACTTTTCAATAGGTGAAGCCAATCTAGTTGGAGACTAAAGGTAGGGCATCTTCAGAAAGATAAAAAACTTTAATCATTTAAAAGTTATTATGCATTGAAGAATTATCAAAAACCACAAATATTCAAGGAAGATTTTAATTTGAACAATGCTACTTTTTTAAAGACTCAACCATGTATCATTCCATTTGAAGAAAATTCTGATATCTTTTTAAGCAACAAGAGAACTAACCTCACAAATGCGACAAGAGGCACAAACCCATGAACTCCAGTGGAATAAATCTGCAATGAGCATTCGCATATATATGAAATAACAACAAGCAATTCTTTCAAATCAAAAAACAAAAAAGTGAGCAGCAACCTCTATATTCAGCCCAACTTCTCAAGCAACGTCTATGATACTTTTTGTTACAAGACTGACATGAGAGCATCTTCAAAGCTCTATCACTGCCTTCATTTTCCCCAGAGAAACACAAGCGGCACATAACCTTGACAGTAGAACCTTGATCATCTCTGGCAAGATCAATCACTTGTTCACCCAGTACTGGCTCACCAAGAGAATCCTGATAGATCACAAGCATGGAATAAATTTTCAATTTAATACTAATAGCATGAGCTGAGAAGACACAGTTATAGAAGCTATGTTTACCATATTCAGAAGAAACAAACATACAACATTTTAGCACTTCACTTGAAGTCCACCAAAATGGGACACATCAGACATGTTTAAGTTTAAAGTTTCTACAATATTTAAAGCAAATGAAACTAAAACTTGCGACAAACCCAGCTTTTGGATCAAAAAAATCTTATCCTTCCCAAGAATATGCAACAAAAACTCCGTAGAAAAAATAAACCTAAAGACAGCATTAGCCTATGAGTGTATCCACTTGGCTCATGAAACAAAAGGAAGGCCAGCTTCTACTGAATACAAGAGTTAATTAAAAAAAAAAAAATCTAACTCATAAAATAATCAAAACATCTAATTTTCTGTTATGCCATTCTCTTGACTATAGATTCTCCATCATGAAGATACAGCACATTTTAAAATATTAACTTTGCAATAATAGTAAAATGTATACAAGAGGAGAAGACATATGGTTACAAGCTAGTGCAAATTGAACATCCTTCTCGTCATCAGTTTCATAAGTAAATAGTAATTGTATTACACCTATTTCATATCTGAAACCCTATTCTCTTGCAGAGTGGAAAAGCTACAATAAAGGTTGCATCAATAATCATTTATAGGTTGAGTTGCTGAGTGTCTAAATCACAGATCAACCATGAACTGTATCGCAGGAATTGTATTCTAGATTATGTACAAACTAGCATTCAGAGTTGTATCCTTCCCTTTACTGGTGCTTTTCAAAAATTATACTTCCTTATAGTTGTTATACATCCTGATTTTCACATTCTTTAAAGTCACAAAGAAAGTTCTTTTCCAAATAACAAACTGAAAGTAGCATGAAACAATCATGATAGAAGCAACCACTAAATGGCATTGGCTCGTTTAGAAGGCAGAACCTAAAAGCATATTAGAAGCAAAAGACAACGGACAATCAGCAAATAACTGCAAATTTCATCTGGTTTTACTTTTTAAATAATAATTTTATCTCAATTCTGCTTAGCAAGCTCATCTCAACGAGGAATTCATTGATTCCATGCAATTATGTATATATAGAAGTTGCATTCCCACCCTTCCATCATAGTCAAAATATCCACACATCCGAAATCAGGGTTCCTACCTGACTGCTGTAATCGAAGTAAAATAAGGACATTAAATAAAACCAAAATCCAGCAGTCTATTACCTTATTACAGACGCACGGAATGAAATCGTGGAAAGAAAAAGCCAATATGTTCGACAGAAAGAACTAACTCTACCTTTAAAGAAAACAAAAATCGACACCATCCCACATCCTGCCAAGAAACAAACCCCAAGCTAAAAAAGAAAACGTCAAAAACGAAACATTCATCCACCATTACAGAGCTGAAACCCTGCAGGATGACATACATGTACGCCTTTCCATCCACCCAAAAGATTGAAACCAATCCCATCTTTCAGCTAAACTATCAACAAAACAACCAGAAAACCTACAAATTTACTAAGATAGATAATAATAATAGCTCACCGCAGCACCCACGACCTCCATCTTCCTCGCATAGTTCTCAGCAGCAAGCGACGCCGCGACAGCCTGTCGCTGCAGCGCCAAGCGCTTAGCATGCGCAGATGCAGAGTACGCGTCATCCCCATCGCCGCCACCGTAAGACACCGGTGCGGGAGCCGGCTCCACCTTCGGCACCAATACCTGAACCGTCGCCTGCGCCGCTGAGTCCCCAGCGCCACCCGGCCTCACAATCCATGGATCCCGCAAAAACTCCTCCAGCACCTCGATCTCCTCGAGAAAGCCCCGCCTTGATTTCTCGCTCCGCAGTCCTCCCGCGAACCCCAGCTCGCAGTAGCATATCCGCCGGCTGCGAATGAGTAGACAGTCAGTTAGAGAGAGTTAGAGAGAGGGAGAGAGAAATAGAGAAAGAGAGAGAGCGGGAATGGAGATCGAAGGAGATTAGGCGAACCAAGTGATCGGGCAAGAGACATGAAAAGCCATCGGATTCGATGGGCCGGAGGGGTTTTTTTAGCGGGGGATTTGTCCCCGAAGGATCGATTTGAAAATAATGGCGGAAAATAAAAGAAAAAATATGGGGAAATAAGCTAGGGATTATTGGGGAAATCTTCGGTCGCCCGGAGAGGGGAAGAGAGAGAAAGATGGGGAACGGTGGCGACGGATGGCTGAGCCGGGAGTATTATACTAAAACGATATCAGGATGAATGGGAATCTTCAAGTGAGATGGGAGGTGATCCTAGCCGTTCGATTTTGTGGTTGCAGGGGTCGAGATTTGATGAATCTGACGGTTGAGATTGGCTGTGCTTCAAGTACATTGGTTTTGGCCTTTTGGGTGTAGTAAGAAACATTTGAATTTTTTTTATGTGTCATCATATATATATATATATAGAGTATTATACTAAAACGATATCAGGATGAATGGGAATCTTCAAGTGAGATGGGAGGTGATCCTAGCCGTTCGATTTTGTGGTTGCAGGGGTCGAGATTTGATGAATCTGACGGTTGAGATTGGCTGTGCTTCAAGTACATTGGTTTTGGCCTTTTGGGTGTAGTAAGAAACATTTGAATTTTTTTTATGTGTCATCATATATATATATAT